GTCATTGAACTACTAAAATATGTATATATTTTTATAAATAATTCATTAATAATTATTTTATATGACTCGAAACATCACCCGTAAAATGCAATATATACTAGTGCAAATCTACCTACGCGCCGATCAGTACGGCAGCGGCGCAATTTTGTAAACGGGCTCTTGACATCATTTACATTACATTACATAAAAAAAACAGAAATATGAGTCAAATTTAATGTTTGCCAAAACAGTTAGCATTGTAATTTAACCAATCTAAATATAAACATAAAATGACATAAGTGTAACCGTGAGGGTTATACCGAAAGGAACTTATTTGAACCTTCATGTAACCGCGATAAGATGATTGAAAAATCGTGACAACTCACAGCCATTTAATTGACGTCTCTAAGTAAAACTGATATCATTTCAACAAGTAAGTCATATTTAACTTGTTGATTCCGAATAAAGGCAATCAAGACTTAAGAAAATTTTACTAGAAAAAATTCCACGCGGACCAGGCAGCAGACGAGACTCGAACCCACACCCTTAGCTATCAAGCACTGGCCATTATGCTACCGCGCCCTGATGGCTGCGTCGAATTTTCTCTAGCCCTTCTTAGGCTGCAAGGTAGCGCCATCTCTTCGCATTATAGGTAACCCACAATGTCAAATGAAGATCTACATGTATTAAGCTGCTGTCAGTCAATAACGGTTGTCCTTTACAGAAGATTATGTTACCGACACCATAATAGACGTGTCTATTGTGTCTTATTTCTCCTCAATGTAGCATCTCTTCACTTGTAAGCAGCATTTAATTGAAATACTGGGATGAGTAAAGAGTAAGCTTTCACGTGTCACGTACTATCGCGGAATTTTGCGCTCTGTCACTTGGCGAACAAAATGCTTTGAACGGTTTTCTACAGTAGTTTTTACTACGCCCCGCCTTCGCGTCGGACGCGCCAATCCGGACCGCCGCACAAAAGTAAGACAGAGAGCATTTCGTTGATTGAATAATGAATTGAATTGCATTTGTTTTAGTTGCAATTTGTCATCCGCATCGTGATCGCGACAGCGCTATACGAAAAAGTAAGACAGCGATAATTACATGTCTACGATTGAATTTTTACTACGCCGCTACCGCAAGCGATTATGGCATTATGGGTGACAGAGCGGGTCTTTCCGCGAGTGTATCTACTAATATCATTGATACGAAAGTTTGTAAGTTACAAGAGTCAAATGCTTCAATAAAAACAATAAAAAGTTATGAAATATTTATTTATTGTATTCTTCTTTACCTAAATACAGTAAATGGTGGACGTAATGCCATTGGCATTCGCTACCAGTCGAGACGAATGTATTGCAGGTTCAAATATTGCATTTTGAAACTAATTTCTTGATTTCATTGGAGCACTAAAAGCAGCTTCTCCCTTTGGATCGCATCCAGCGCCGAGCGGCTCGAATCGTCGACGGCCAGGACCTTTCCGATCAGCTTGATCCTTTGGCTTTGCGTAGGGATGTAGCTTCGCTCTGCATCTTCTATCGCATTTATCACGGGGAGTGTTCTGAGGAATTGGTCGGATTAATTCCAGCTGCTGCATTTCGCCATCGTACATCGCGACAAAAATTTCATCCCCATAATCTTGATGCGTGGCTATCCACAACCGTGCGTTTTTGTCGAAATTTTTTACCACGTGCGACAAAACTGTGGAATATGTTGTCGCCAGCAGTGTTTCCGGACCGATACGACCCAAAAACCTTCAAAAAAAGAGCGTACTCCTTCCTTAAAGGCCGGCATCGCATTTGTGATACTCCTGGTGTTGCAAGTGTCCATGGGCGACGGTGATCACTTACCATCAGGTGAGCCGTCTGCTCGTATGCCCCCTATAACATAAAAAAAAAATCTTAATAAACTTTTTCTTAAGACCGTTGGATAAGCTACCCAGAAAAAAGAAATCCCCTTAAAAATCTGTTCGAACCGTCGAGACTTAATGAAACGAAATTAGCTGCAGCGATGCATGTATCGGAACGCGTCTCGGCGCTCTGTCACTGTCACGGCGGGAAGGCGGCAATACGTCAGCGGACGCCATCTTGTATCGTAGCGGGGGCGGTGCTCATTTTCCCGCGCATTTCACTTTTTATTGGGTCACCGGCTGCTCAGGGCCGTTGTTTCGCTCGATTTGTGCGTTCACGGCGAAGGTTTTTACCTAAATGCCGGAAAACAAGGTCAATCCTTTGTGATAAGGTCCTGTTATCCGCCGCCGGGTAGGTTGCGAAGCCGAGGCTGTCGTTTGACAGGAGATAGACAAGTAGTGATCCTTTACGCTCGCTCTAATAGGGGTGATGACGGGGTACAGTAAACGAAATTCTATTTAGTCCGTCAGTTAGATGATCAAAAAATAATGGACACGTATTTTTTCTTTGGGCAATCAACCAATAAATGACAAAGTTATAGCGCGTCAAAGTTTGGGAGTAGGGGCTCGGGACGTCACTTTTGAGTGGATTTTCACTTATAAGTGTACTCAAACGTGACGTCATGCGACTTTTCAAATAAATATATCTCTGCGAAGTGTATATTATGTGAAGAAAGAAAAAAATACGTGTCCAATACTTTTTGATATTCTACCTGATAAACGAAGAAAAAAAAATAGTCATCATCCCTATTGTCTATGGCATGGTGGCAGTCTCGTTCGAATTGCCGAGTTGATATGAACTGATCCGACTGAAGTGTCATTCCGCTCGCACCGGTCTTTCCGTAAACAAAACAAGTGAATTTTGAGGTTAGTGATTCTGAGTGGTAATAGTGATTTATTAACATGAGTAAATCGAATTCTAGTGAAACATGGACTTATTTCACACTTTGAGATGCTGAACGAGCTAAATGCAAACGGTGTTACAATGAATATTAAAGGAAAGGCAGAACTACAACTTCTTCAAAATGTTTTTTTCTAATATTCATATTCGCAAAACATTCCCAGAGATTTTACGAATGTCATCCTTTGCTTTCAAGTAACAAAAAATTGAGGAATATATGGGATTGGATACAGTGAAAATTATTGAGGTCTATATTTTTCTGCGACATCAGCTGTCTTAGTGGCAGAACTAAACTTCCTCTTTACATCAGGTATGGTTAATATAATAATTTAATTTAAAAATTCAATATCTCTTATCTATTAGACAAGTCCGTCCGTCCGTCTGTGGTGCTGTTTCAGCGGCCAAACCGTAAGAGATAGATAAAGAGAATATTTAAGTTATAAGTTAAGAATAGTCTGATAAGACTACAAACCGGATTTGAGTAACGTAGCACTTCCGGTTTTCAAACGAAACCACACAAAATCTCCGAAGTTCTCTTTCAATTTTTTGTTTTTTTTTTTAAATCAGGTTTTGGTGAACATTTGGTTCACTGGTTTTCTAGTTATTCTTCTATTCTATTTGCTTTTCTTGTTAGGCGGGGTCAGGCCGAAGATGGTGTCAAATGGAAATATGAAGAGGGTTTAATTGACAACACCAAACCTAAATAAAAACATTACGGGGGCATCCATCTAAATAGAAAACCAAGTTTGTGTAATGTTCCATTTTAAAGTCATACCTTACATTCAAACTCCGGCGAACAGGTAATCCAAAACGTATTCATAGTTTTACGGCCATTGTATCAATTTAATTCTATTTGTCGCATCCGGCGGTCCACCGTCTTCATAAATGATTCATCTGACCACCGGCACACGTTGGTAACCTCCCCTGAGAGCCTTTACTGTACTCCTTGTTTATTCGCCTATTCAAAGCCCTTAAGGCTATAAAAATAGAGTTGAAATCTACCTGACATAAAAGGAAAGAATTGAATATTCTCAAAAAGGACTTCGCTATTTCACTTCGGTCGATTTAAGTGATGTAGTTGAAAAGCAGGCAATATTGCTATGCGTTGTTTGTTTTATTTGGTCGTTTTATTTTGCACCTCTATAATGTATATTAATGTAACTTTGTTTCTAAAAACAAGAACTGTCCTATTTTTTTCCTTTTATGACATACCCTACCTCCTTATTTATGCCAAGACCACTATGGTCATACAATATTATGACTACTGCCTCGTTCAACTTATATTTCAACTAGCGGCCCGCCCTCGCTTCGCTTCGGTGTAGAGCTGAAGTGTAGACTACAGTTTTTGTTCTCAGGCTTGTATTATACACAATGACATTCATCTATGATTCTTCTTATACCTGCATGCAAAGTCTCAGCCCGATCGGTTTAAAATTGATAAAGTTTCATATAAATTTCATTTCCTATTTTATCCCCTTGGTGGTAGAATTGATCAAAATCCTTTCTTTGCGGATGCCTACGTCATAACATCTACCTGCATGCCAAATTTCAGCACGATCCGTCCAGTGGTTTGGGCTATGCGTTAATAGATCACTATGTCAGTCAGTCAGTCATAGATATAGATTTATATTAGTTTCGGGGAAAACTAGTCCACATACCAGACATAGCAATCTTGTTACAAAGCAACAACGAAATCTTTTTCATCTCTCGTATTTTCTATATGATCGCTGGCATTGTGGGGACCTCTGAAATCGCCAAACGTTCTGTGTTCGATGAAAAATTCCACCAATTCCGAGCTGCAGAACGTCGCGAGACGAGACGAAACGTAAAAATACGACGTCCCCAGAACGCCGCCAAGACATAAGCTGAAGATGTTTAGAAGACATTCCAATTTCTTCAACCTTATCTTTGTTGCGAATTCTCAATTATTTAGAAATGCATGTTTCCAGAAAAAGGTGATAAACTTTAAACCTGTTCTGGAAATCTATCAATTTATCTTTAAATGTTATTGTATCAGGACTCTCTTCTTTGTCTACAAGTGTCTGCATCGTGGCAAATTCTCAATATGCAACTTCAGGTTATTCAGTGGTATGCAAAAGTTTACTAAACAATCTTTTGTGTTGTGACCACCAAATCTAATAATAGCCCGAAATATCAGAAATTTTAAGAAAAGTAGAATATACTGCTCCTTAATGACCGGTTTACGTTTAACTAAATATTTGCTTGTTTTGTTGTTGCAGCGTAGAACTTCTTTGCCGGTGATCCTTTGAGCTCAGGGTCGTTCATTTCAAAATGATTCCTGTCCCTCGCGTCTCCATTGAACAATTACATAAGAGCAAAGTCTTCAATACAACGACCTCAAGAATGAGTAAAGATGATCAATAGAGTCGGAAATCTCCTAAATTGGACCACCGCTCGGTAAGCACGAATTACCTGCATTTTGTGTCTGAATTATTGAAATAATCCGTCGATCCAGCGGCGGGGCAAGATAATGACCTACCATAAATATTGCCAGAATTATACTTTCGTTTTAGAATGTGCCTGCTGGAATGCTTATTCGGTTTTGTTTCATTTTCTTCGCGGTAAATTATTTTTGTGTAGGTACTGTTTTGACTGTGGAATTCGTGAGTAGCTAATAACAGATTGTCAATCTCTTATCTGCATTTTTTCTGAATTTATCGTGTTGACTATCCATTAATAGACCTTTTATACCTTTCTAGAGAGCAACTGACAATTATCACATAATTCTTGTGCTCTTAGTTTAGCAAACAAATTTGTATATCAATGTCAGTCAATCAAACCTTTGGCCATATAAGTTGTATGTTTAGCCTTTCTTATTTCACTAACTGCTGGTTTCAGTATTTAAACTCCAGTAACTTGTAGACTAGACTAGAGCTTTATTGATATTTTTATTATGAAGACTATATGACGGAACCAGATTATCATTATATTTTACTGGAGGATGATTATTATTGAATCTGGCAGTAAGTTGGCCAACTGGCATGCGATCTGCCTCACGCTAAGCGATTACCGGAACCTATGGATGTCTATTATACCAGAAGATTCACTCTCGCGTAGTCGATCCTGTTAAAATCTCTACCCACCCTCTGTGAAGAACCCTATGTTGTAATCCTTGGAAGTTACAAGAAGCTCTGTTGATAACCTTATCGTGTGAAGTATCTTTGAATTGGGTTAATAATTCGGCACCAAGGTAGGAGTCGTGATGAATAAATACGAACAATGAGCATAAAACCTTTGCAACCGTCGTCCTACGCATAAAAGGCGAACACAATAAAAAAAAATATACCTGACCATTTGTACAAATCGCGCACATTTGTCGATGGCTCTTGTTTATTGGGGTCCATGTGACAGATGCCTCTCGGACACGTCCTGATGACGGCGGGATTGTCTCGCATTTGTCCCGCCCGTTGGCAAATGTGTGGTCATAAGTTAGGTCGCTGGGGAGAGCAAAAAAAAACGATAAAAAGGAAGCCTTGTTTTTTGTTTCTCGCTTTATCTTTGCTTTGGGGATACGTAATATGTGTCGGTCGTTTGGGTGTAAGCGCGTAGGTACACTCAAACATATTGCAGATGCGTCTTATTGTGTTTTCTTCCGTCGATTTGTATTATCCTCCCACGCTGAAATAGAGAGTAATACACGGAACTGAACACGATAGACAACTGGCAACTTGCAACTATTCCTTTTCTATATACGCTTCAACGGAACGAAATCAGAGTGCTACATGCAACGATATTAAATAACCTAGATACACCAACATGAACAAAATCGTGCCCAAAACCTGTCCAAAAGGTACATTAGACGATCGACGGAGCTCCGTAAGATGAAAACAATATTAGGCATTATTTAAACACGGAAAGTCACCTTTAATGCCTACTGTATAAGGCCTTAATTAAAATGTATGCGTCAAAGAGTTGTGACAGTTCGAAATGCCAGTTCGTAAAATTTTACGACTTATTGCTGTATGCGGAGCAATATAGACCTTATTTCTTTGACTCTACGCGCAATTTTGAATGCGCTGTTAGCAATACAACAGGTACGAATCGCGAGGAAAAGAGATGGCTGTATTACCGACCATGCATTTGAATATCACATTTTTTTTATTAAATCAGTTTATAGTAATTATTAGAACGAAATAACCTTCAAATGCGTTAAAATAACTAACATTGATTAGATACCTGACGAAAAACGGCACTTCACATACTATAAAGATATTTTTCGCATTTTTTCACGGAGTTCCGGCAACTTGACTTTTCAACGGTCCGCGCGTGACTGTGAACCAAGAAGTGCTTGAGTGGCGTTCAAGCACTTCTTGATAGGGACACATTTTGAGCGCACGTGGTGTATCTAGGGTATTTAATATCGTTGGCTACATGTACAAATACAATGCATTAAAATTTAAGATAAAATTACAAAGGGTTTTATTTTTTTAACGGAACTCCACTCCACAAACGACTTTTTCATGCACGGTGAAGGAAATTTAACCCCACCCAATGTAAAGTGTAAGTGGAGTTCAGTTGTGAGTCACTATTGCGCGTATATTTTGATGCATCAGAAAACTGCCGCTGTATCCATCCTGCCTTTCTAGATCTAGTAACTATATAGTTACATACCAACAGAAAGATACCACTAACAGATAGATTGGACAACTAAACGGCCATGACTAGATCATCGGTGGAAATCCTCACAAAGATTTGGAGAGACCGTAGGGTAACCAAAAACACAAAGGTTCGGCTAATGAGATCCTTGATTTTTCCAATCTTTCTATATGGAGCTGAGCCGTGGACACTCAAAACGAAAGACCTCCGCAAGATTGAAGCTCTGGAAATGTGGTATTGAAGACGTCTGCTACGCATTCCGTGGACCGCGCAGGGTATCAACGCAACGTTTCAATCCTGAGGGAACTAAACATCAAAGAGAGATTATCGTCGACTGTGCAGATACGAATCCTCAAATTCTTCGGGCATATAACTCGCAATGAGAACTCCATGGAACGGTTGGTGGTGCAAGGGAAAGTTGAGCGCAAAAGGTCTCGCGGGCGCTCTCCAACAAGGTGTACAGACCTTATTGAATCGGCGACGCACTGTAGCGTAAATGATTATTCTCGCTCTGCATAACATCGAGCTGCATGGTGACGCATCGCGATTGCATCAGTGGCACAAGAATCGACCGAGACATGACCACGACCACTCTGTCAAGAGTGCACGACTAGAAAGAGAAATATTTGTTACTTTGTCAAAATAGCAGAACACTTTAGATACAACACCACATACACAAAGAAACATAACAATTCGGAGAAACATTATTTCATCATCATCATCAGCCTATTAATGTCCACACTGCTGGGGCACAGGCCTTCCCTATGGATGGAATAGGGTGATTGGGCCATTACCCACCACGCGGGCGTAGTGCGGATTGGTGGGTGCTAACGACTGCAGATGTAGTCAAAATGAATAAAAACATCTTGGCTCACGAAGACTCAGCCAAATTCAATTATGATCTTTGTAGATGAGTTCCTAGCTTAAGAACTGGCCAATCTTAAGTAAGTTTACAACACCTACTAACGGTATATGGAGCGAGCAGTGTAAAATTGCAAGAAACCACCACGCCGGTACTTGAAGTCGAAATGCTCGTACCCATTTACTTTGATGTCGAGCAGGGCTGTGACTAACTAATTATCGATATCGATATCAGCCAATTTGTATTATAAATCTTAAATAAGGGTGTTTTCTACGAAACCAGTGGTTTTGGAGTGAAATAACGCGTCAGTTATTGTGACTTTAACCAGCAAAGAGTAAAAGCTTATTGATCGACAAATACGAACAATGAAATCGGGATAGACAATGTATACTGTTACTACGTACATTATTTATTTATTATTAATTGTTGCATACCATTAGTAACTCATAATCTGCTCCTTTAGTCTACCCTGTCAGTATATTTATAATAATCATTGTACTTTTTTAAAAATAATTCATTGTCATTGATTGCGACTTATTAGTATACATTACACATCGTTTAATCATAGAATAAAATTATATTATATTTATTTTATTATTATATTAGAAAGCGTTTTTCTATCCATTGTGGGTAGCATAAGTGGCTTTTGGTACTTATCTACTCTACCCTTCTGTTTCACCTAATTATTCATAAAATTGCATCGACAACTTTATCGACACTTGGCACCACTGTAAGGTGGAAAGCCCTTAGCCCAGTTGCGGCACGAGCTCTCGAGCCCTCGTCTGATACTTTTATACCTCCTTGCAGACCTCTCAGCGGGTAGACCTACAGGCACAGGTACGCACAGAGTAATTAACGGGCCAAAGTTGCGCAGTGCAGGCTACAGGTCAATGATCTTTGATGTTACAATTACGCGCTCAAATGTGTTTGATACTTGGTGTAAGGGAACAATTATTTTTTTATGGTGCGAATGGATGGATTATGTTGACGACCTCCGTGGCCGAGTGGTTTGTACGCCGGGTTTCATGGTGTCGCCGACTCGAGAGGTCCCGGGTTCGAATCCCGGTGGGGGCAGATGTTTGTGTGATGAATACGTGCACTTGTACTCCAGTCATGGATGTTTAATATGTATTTCTATATAATTATGTATGTACAGAATATGTATTCTATCCGTTACCCTAGCATCCCATAACACAAGCCTTATAGTGCTTACTTTGGGGCTAGGCTAATTGGTGTGAGTGTTGGAAATATTTATTTATTTATTTAATGGAAGTTTTAATTCGGTAGTTCATTGGTTTGAGTTATATAGAAAAACTTTCCTTTATGGAAAATACATTACAAAAATATCAACTTTATCAGTGACTTTTCGCAAAATTTATCAAAAATAATAATAATAATAATTCATTTATTGTGGAGCATAGGTACAATAATGGGGTGTTACATCAGTACATACAGTTCAGCTATGTCCTGTCATAAGGCGTACAATTACACAATAGCATTAGATGTTACAATTTAAATCAATATTATTATAAATGTCATAAGTTTATTTCCATATCGTTTAATTCACTTCATATAAATTGTCAATACCAAGTGTATGTCACAATATTATGTATATATTTATAAAGAAAAGAATGTGAAGTGGTACCCAGAATGTCAATGTTAAATTTCTTTATCAGATAAAAAATCCTTAATTGTCTAGTATCATTTGTCAACTAAGAAATTCTTTAACACATGCTTGAAACTGAGGACATTCTCATTACTTCTTATTGGACCAGGAATTTTATTATATATACAAAGGGCGTTACAGAACACACTCTGATTCATAAGTGCAGTATTCGAAGGAACCATGCGGAATTTAAAATATATATTTAATAATTTTAAATATACAGTGCTAACTCGTTTTAAAGAAGCGTTACATTTTCATTATGAAAATTAATTGTATACTAGAAATATTTAAGCACATCCATCATAATCATCATCCATCCATCCATCAAAAATAGTATTGCACTTGTTCTTAGTCAACTTTTAATTTAGATAAAAGGGTACTTTGTTTTAGTTTGAAGAGTTTTGTTTTTAAAAATTCTGATTAAGGTAATATTATTATCATAAATTTCCTGCTCAAAGAAATCAAACGGAAACACATAAATCTTATTTTACAGCTATTAATCATCTCGACAGAACGCCACTACATACCAAGATTGGTCAGGGAAGCGATTGAAATAACCAAACACAAAAATTTCAATCGTGAGGATGGGTTTAAATTGTCAAGTGTCTGGAATCCAGTGGTTCGTATGTGCACAAACCGCAAAAATCAAAAAAGTGTCGTTTCGCGATCTGATACTGTGAGGATTGTGTGTCGGGAACAGGTGCGAGTGAATAGTGAGAATGTGACCAGTGGTAGGGGTATCAAGCGCAGTAAAAGACAACGTCAGAGGGTAGACCGATATGTGTGCCAATAACATCTGCCCGCAATTACTTCAGTTACTCCGTGATCATGGCGCTTCCAACAGTGCCGAAATATCGGTGACTCATAAAAAACAAGGTACATGGTAACAATCCCGTTAATAGCTATAATGTTAGTGACCATGAAAGTTTAAAACAATATAACACATAAATCGTTCACAAACCCATGAAGTGGAGCATGATGTAAACTGAGAATAGAAAAGACTGACAAAGCAGTGACGTCACAATATTCCATTCAAACCTGGAATAATCCACTAGAAACAAAACGTGTCTGAGGGTATCCAAATGACGAATAAACTCACACTAAATCACCAAAACTGACAACTCTTTTGTTGTCATTGTTTGGAAGAAGACCTATTGTAGGTTTTACTAATGTACGAATTTCATTGCACAAGCCAAACTTTTTAGGATGCATTAGCATTTCTTAATTACTAAAAGTTTAGGAAGTTGTGAATTTATCTTAGAAATATTTCAGATTAAAACTAAAAAGAAGCCTTTACATTCAAAGTTTCGTGAATCAATCGTTAAAAACGGCTAAATCCTAAGAAATACCTTTACTACATAAAAAATATGAATAAAATGGTTTTTACCTATTGAATCGATATAAATGAAGTAAGACATGTTGTTGACGCAAAATCAACATGTTTTATTAATGTTCATAATTTTCAATTTTAGGTGGTCACACTTCTTTAACAGAGACCCCTTATTGGTTAATGTAATTATAAGTAGACTTCAAAAAAAGATGGCGAATAGAATAATGTGCTTGTGCTAGTAAAATTGTCATATCATTGTAATTTGATCATTATATCAGTTTAAAGTTCACGAAATTGTCTTATTGAAAAAAGCCACCAAAACAAGGTGAAGGGAAAACGTAAATAATCAGCGATCACAACATCAAAATAAGAAAACGTTGCGATTGCCTTTCGACGCCTTCGAACCCGCCGTCGGCACCGAGCGAAATTCATCATCACAAGTGTTCAACACGAGTTTAAGAAAAAATGGCATACAAATGTTGAGTAAACAAGGTTTAAAACAGTGTCTTACTTATAATATAACACAAATACGCATATTACATAGAAATCGAGGTGACGAGGTGATAGCGAAACTCAAAATTGACATACAATTTTTTTTTTAGAGAATATTGCTAATAAAGGCACGCGATAAGCGAAACTGAAAAGTTTAACGACTAAAACTCACCCGTTTGTTGTCTCGAAACTTCAACCAGCCGCTGATGACACTGTTGTCCATCTCGCTGCCCTCCTCCGTATCCTCATTCTCCCCCCTTCTAGTGAGCAATGGAGAGCCTCCTGGACTGTCGACCAACTCCCGTCTCCTCATAACAGGAGTGCATTGTTGAGACAACCTGCCTTCGTTGACGGCATCACTTCGCCTACCCAAGACTGGAGTAGCATGAGCAGACACGCCGCCAAGGAATCCCCTTCTGGACGTGAAAGGGCTTCCTTCGAACATTGGTCTCTTCAGTGGGCTGCTGTTACACTTGGAATGCACACACAGGGCGTCAAAATTCGCCAGCTCCACAGACACCCTCGTTTGAAGACCGCTCGGATGCGTCGTCAGGATCGTCTGCTTCGCTATGCTGCAGCCGTGTCTGTGCAATTCCTCCCTTCTCTCCATTTCGTTCTCCCTTAATTGGGCGCGCCAATCCACCAGCTCTCCATTCCTCAATCCCTGATTCCCTGTAAAGATGAATAATAATTCCATTAGTGGAAATAGCACGGCTTAATTGCACAATTAAAATCGCGTTCTGCTGTGAGTCGTATATTAGTTTAGATCGTCTCAGACTACGATCCTCGGAGGAGGCCTTTAAATTGACTGTTTTAGATTTTAAGCAGCCCTTTATTGTAATAATTCGGAAGGGTCATAGATCGACGGTCATTTGTTAAGGGTGGCTCGTAATCTTCGGAATAGTCGAGTGAAAAAGGAATTTCGAGTAGGGAATTGCGTTCTTTAATGAAGTTAGGAAGTCTTCATAAGTCTTGGGGGCCGCGAAATGTCGTCATCATTTATTACGCGTATTAGAGGCATTAATGTTTTTGATGAATTATTTAAAACTCAACCGGCTTTTACCTTTTAAGTGTCCATCCTGGATAATGGAGTCGAGTTGCATTTTGATTTATTTATGTATCTGAAAGACTTCATCTCTTTAGCGAGTATCGATTTAAGCATGAATTATAAGGAAAGGTAAAGTATGATTGATGGAGATACGCCAGCGCGGTGTCAGAAATAATAACAAAATCTCTAAAAGCATGAATAATAACTTGGGAAAATAACTTCCCGGGATGATAACTTTAATTTACAAGAAATTCTTAGACTTATACGTCATGACTTTTAACAGAATGACCTTTAAAAGTAATCTGACTTAATCTCGAATCCCAAGGGAATGGACTCACTTACTAGTCCTAGAAGTAGAGTACAAGTATAATATTGTCCCCATTTTAAAGATTTCAAGTCTTTGCTTGCGTATAGTAATTGGTTATCTACACAATCTTTTAGCTTCTTTTTGCCTCATAACAGTTTTATTATATAGTAAACAAATAAATGCGTCCTTTTTCAAGGTTCCTTTACAGTCTTACTGAAATTCATCAAACGGATTTTGAACTTAGAAGAGAACTCCAGAAACTTGAACATATTAATGTAAGAGTTACAGATAAGTAAGGGTATTGTGGTTTATCATTAGAATTGTAGCGACTGTCTGAGAAAGGCTGGAAGATGAACTAACCTCAGATATTCATGAGATATAGCCAGGTGACAGACAGACAGACGTACAGTGGAATCTTAGTTTTGGGGTCCCGCTTTTGCCCTTTGAGTACTGAATCAGCTGGGACACAGATCTTCCCTATGGGTGCAATAGGGAGATTGGGTCATGGCCCGCCAAGCGAGCCTAGTGCGATTTAGCGGGTACTTACGACTGCAGATGTAGCCGGGACCAATGGCTTAACGTGCATTCCGAAGCACAGAGGAACTCGAGATAGAAGATCTTTGGTCAGCCATCCAATGACCGACAACTGCGAAAGTTGTAAAATACATACCAGTTTTTTATTTGAAAGAAAGAATAACGCTTAAGTTTTCTCTTAACAATTCAAAACTAACTTCAGAATTGAACAATGATACGAGATCCTGAAAATATATGACATTTTAGAAGACTAGTTGACCCTTTTTGGAAAAGGTTTTAAATGGTCAAAAATGTTTTAATAGACCGAAAAAAAATATATTGTTTTTTTTTGAGCCCTAGAAAGCTCTAATTTTAAAATAGACTTTTGATGGACATACAAAAACGCTGTCGGCCATTTTAGTCTATAGATTATTTATGCTATGACGTCAACCGGTAGTAAACAAAAACTCGTAAGCACGTAGAAAATAACCTATCTGAGTTTATAATAAAACAAAACATGATTTTTAATAAATACCACGAAAAATATAGTAATTATCATTATTGTACTGTACGATAATTTAAAAACACATCCTTGAAGACTCCAGGAAAGTTGTGGATTAAAGTGCCGAAAGAAATTAACCTACGCAATACCTGGTTAGAACTTGCTTAAAGGGATCCTGCAACTTTATCAACTTATAGTAAAATTTATTTTTGCGAAGATCACTTTGATGTAAGTACTCATTGAATAATATTTTAAGTCTATTCATTTATTATCAGTTTTAATAATAGAAGCTTTAAGGTTATGTATGAATGGCATTTAGTTGTTTACTACCAAAATGACGTCACAATCATGGCGGATGAGGCGAACAGCCTTTTTAGTGTTTAAAAAGTATAGACTAAAAAATATTTTTTAAAATTAAATTTCTACAGCAATCTTCTGCTTTTATAAAGTGAAATCGATATATTTAGGTTCCTTAGACCAAATACTTTAAGAAATAAACATTTATTTAATACAATTCGACATGAGTCAACTAGCCTATTCTGTTTGACGTCACTTGGCCCGTTTGAAGGAAGGGGGCTGCGGGAGACAGTAACAACCGCCCATTACGGCACATTACGCCGTTGAATAAGCAAACCGTTAATTTATTGGTATTACTTAAGTGGACAGTTCCCCGTTATTTTGCATTGAAGTCGACGAGCGAACGAAGCCTCTTTCCGTAAATGATTGTTGTTTGCATTTTTATTGTAGTACTTTTACTTGGATTCGTTTAAGTAATGGATGGATTGGAGGTTCACTTTGTAAATTTGCGGTTGTAGAAACTGGGTAATTATAGAGTTATGGTATCAATTTAAAAGTCAACAAGACTCTTTTTATTGAATTAGGGATGACAGTTCGATGGCTCGATGGCGCAAGTGGTTAGCGCGTTCGGCTGCGATCGTTGAAGTTAAGCAACCTTCGCAGTGGTCGGTCTTTGGATGGGTGACCAAAAATTTACTATCTCGAGCTCCTCCATGCTTCGGAAGGCACGTTAAGCCGTTGGTCCCGGCTGCATCTGCAGTTGTTAGCACCCACCAATCCGCACTGGGCCCGCGTGGTGGGTCATGGCCCAATCTCCCTATTCCATCCATACGGAAGGCCTGTGCCCCAGCAGTGGGGACATTAATAGGCTGATGATGATGACAGTTCTGATTATAAAGCGAAGTGATGGCTGGTTCATGCGTCATGCTCGTGAACGGGTGCTGCCAGCGGAGATGAGTCTGCTCTTGCTTCATTGGGTACTATTAATCGTTGTACTAAACTTTAATCATTAATTATTATTTTTTTGCCTAAACAGTACGACACGGCATTCCTAAACTTTGTTAAACCAGTTTCTTATATATTTTTTTATTTTATAGTCATAATTTTTATATTATTTGAATTTTTTGTTTGTAATGGAAAGTGACTTTATGAGTTACCTCATATTGAAGTCATTATTCAATTTGACGACTCTGTATATAATACAGGGAGAAAAAAACAGCCCTTGCTGAGTTTCTTACCGGTTCTTCTCAGTACAAGGTCTCCCGCCGTAGATTTGCGAACCGATGGCGTAGCTTTTCGACATTCACAAGTGCTTGTAACAGCTTAGACTGAATAAACGATATTGAATTTTGAATTAAATTGATTTTTTGAATTTTGAATCAAAGAAATCTTCATTTAATAATGAATATAGGGATATAGATGGATAGCTAAAGAAAATGGTTTGATTCTTGCTTGAAGCTTGATGTACTTTCGAATGGTAATTTTTATCATTGAAAAGGTTTTTTCGTTCGATCCAGATACCCCGAGGTTTAGGGCCACGGGGACGTATGAGGGCCCAAAAGTTGGAGTTTGAAGGGCTCTAAAAAGATGTAAAAATTATTTGAGATAAGTCAATTTGTTTTCGACCGAAAAATCGTGTGTTTTCACAGAAAATTTCCGATATGTAGAGAACTTCCCTGAATATTTAAGAATATGCTATTATAGTAATATAAGTTATTTACGGGATTGTTACCATGTACCTTGTTTTTAGCGAGTTTCCGATATTTCGGCAGTGTTGCAAGCGCCATGATCACGGAGTAACTGAAGTAATTGCGGGTAGGCTGTTATTGGCAGACATATCGGTCTACCCTCCGACGAAGTCTTTTATTGCGACCCGTACCACTGTTCACATTCTCACTATTCACTCGAGTCTGTTCTCGACACACAACACTTACAGTATCGGATCGCGACACGACATTTTTTTTGATTATTTCCGGTTTTACACATACGAACCACAGGATTCCAGACACTCGACAATCAAGGTACATGGCTCGGTTTACTCGGCAAACAAGGTACATGGTAACAATCCCGTAAATAACTTATATTACTATAATGTTAGTGACCATGAAAGTTTAAAACAGAATATGCTATTGCCTACCAACATCTTCATTACTGGGTGGTGTAGCAACAGTGCAGGGATTACTGCACTATTGTTGAGCCGTCCCTTCCGAAGCACGAAAGAGTTCGAGATAGTAAATTATTCACCCATCCAATGACCAAGCATGGATAATGTTGCTTAATTCCTACGATCGCAAACCAAACGTGCTTACCACTCCGACATTGACTTTCTCTGAAATTAATTCCGAAAAATAAAGTATAATTATAATTATATAATTTTTATTTGACCCATCAGGGTCGCGATAGCATAATGGTCAGTGCATTCGCCCGGAAAGTGCGGGTTCGATTCCCGTCTACTGCCTGATCCACGTGGATTTTTTTCTAGTAATATTTTCTTAAGAAAATGTAACTTAACACAATAGGGATGATGACTATTTTTTTTTCTTCGTTTATCAGGTAGGTTATCAAAAAGTATTGGACACGTATTTTTTCTTTTTTCACATAATATAAACATTGCAGAGATATATTGATTTGAAAAGTCGCATGACGTCACGTTTGAGTACACTTATAAGTGAAAATTCACTCAAAAGTGACGTCACGAGCCCCTACTCCCAAACTTTGACGCGCTATAACTTTGTCATTTTTTGGTTGATTGCCCAAAGAAAAAATACGTGTCCATTATTTTTTGATCATCTAACTGACGGACTAAATAGAATTTCGTTTGCTGTACCCCGTCATCACCCCTATTACCGTTATGCCGTTTTCGTAACAATCACTATGTATACGTAAAGCTGCTCATTCTTGTCGGCTCAGAACAAAGCGTCTTTTTTGGCTACTTTCTATAAAAACACTTCTCGTCTCGTCACCAATATTCGATTTGTTCATACAGCCAAAAAAATCCATTCAACCAGAGCGTCCAAAATGGCCGCCATTAATAGCTGTCCACTGCCATTCGCATCAACTTCAGTTTAAAAATATGCATGTTCCGATTGCCACAATCGCTGTAAGTACAGATTTGGTGCATGCGAGTTTTGCGATGGGCTCACACGTCAGTTTATTGGCGGCGCATACTGTCGGTTCGTGCTCATGAATTATGTATGAGATGCTGCTATTATGGATGATTTGGTCATTGGCTTGACACGACGTGAGGTCTCTCATGTTCTCTTCTTTCGTTTTAGCTTGATGCGGATACGTGGTACGTAGTCTTTTGTTCTTTAGCTAACGTAAATAATTTGATTCAAGTTGGAAGCATGTGCTTTCGAATGATAATTTTTATCATTGAAAATGTTTATAGCACAGTGTGACCTAAACCCGCACTTTACGCACGCTTTTCCGTGAC